ACCTCATCCCGCCGGGTAAACGCCCCCCCCTCTCTCTCTGCCGGCGTCCATCACCAAGATGCCCGGCAGTTATCGGAATACTGCCGCACGTGCGCGATGACGTCATCGCGCATGCGTGTGGTGACGTCATGCGCAGTGACGTCTCGGCGGGGTGACACCTGGTTACCGCTCCGGGTGTCACCCAGCTTCGGGACTCCCCTTTGCGGTAGGACTACCTTTGCAATTAAAGGGTTCAGTGCTTGCTTTGTCTAGGGAGCTCACATAAAGCAGATGTACTCATCTGGTCCCCAGTCCCGCCTGGCTGCTAGACCAGTCCCTGCAACTTCTCCCCTGGGGATCTGGTGGTAAGATCCTCTGACATCGTCGTCCTCTGGAGCCACCCTTGCACATGCTAGTAAGCTATGTGTGTCTCCACCAGCACAGCAAGACAAGCCATTCTTCGGCTTCCTGGACGGCTGCTGAAGTCTGTTCTCTTGCGATTGTATTGGACAGGAAGTTGCAGGAGGCAGAGCTGAGAGAGTTGGAGCTGTTTGGTAATACGATGATGGAAGTGCTCGGGCAAAAAAGTTCTATTTTAACTCCTTAGGTTGCCAGTGCTCGGCTCCATCTACAAACTGCTTCTTGCCTGGCTGTCTCTAGCCCTATATTAGAGTCCCTGACCTGCAACAAGCACGCAGCAAGGAAAGTCAGAACTCTTGATATGAATACTTGTTTTTGAGCCCAGTGCAGATGCCGCGTTCTGTGTCTTTTGCTCTGGTCACATTTGTAAATGTGGGAATGAGCCGTAACACAGAACAAGCTGATTTCACTTTGTACAGAGGACAAACAGACCAACATATTTCCCTGGCAAAGGCCGACGTCCTAGTAAAGGAGGCCGAACACAATGCTAAAATGATGCTGAGCTGGGATGTGTCCAATGGGGTAAGGTGTTGTGGTTTTGTTTTAGGACGTGTGTATGAAGATGGCTCGTGTATGTGTTTCATTGTTCCCCCGATGCCCAAAGAGTTAGCACTTTATTTTGAGACATTGGAAATGGCAACCAATGTATTTTCTTTACAATGTATACGTTTTTTTTTTGTTTTTTTTAAAATTTTATATATAGAGGATGTAAATTGTGAAAGTTGTGGCCCAAAAAGGACTAACCGCCACTGTTGCCCATCATCTTTTCCCCATTCCTGACTTGCCATGCGTTGTTCTACACCATTTCTCTGAGGGAAAGTTGCTATCTTGATGGAGGCGGGGCTTTAGCTTATATCAGAGCTGCCCCCATTAATGGACCAGCCATCTGATGACTTGTAGGATTACAATTAAGCAGCTGCACGGAGTGAATGAAGCGGGGAGATCCTTGCAGTGCAGGTCCAGCTTCCTCTCCGGCAAGGAGAACAGTGAGCAGTATAGTAATGACCTCACCAAATCTCCTGAGACCATCAGTCAGAGGCAGCAGTGCCTTCAATGATCTCACACTGCAGATATAAAGCTATGAGGATACAGAACAGGAGTGTCTAGGTGACTACAGGAACCTCTGGAGGAATTAGACATTTTCTACGGCTGGGTTTCTTGATGTTCCCTATAAGTCGGCAAATCTTCATTTTATTAGTTTCGGTGCTCTTTAGATCTGAGCAAAAAGGTTTTTGTTTTTTTTTATCCATGTGGAGTGTTTATTATTTTCTCATTTTCACCTTTGACGTGTTGTTACAATGCCCCGCTGTCATTTTTCAGCAAACCGGGAGCACAACCTCCCTAAAGGTTGTCAACACCCCCCCCCCCCCCCCATGAGATGATGCCTGAGGAGACGGCCTCATTATAGGCAAAAGTCCATGTATCCCATCGCACTCCTGCCCGGAGAATGCCCAATGTAGCAGGGCGGGTGCAGCAGTGACAACTGATGCCTCCGTCAAAACATACAAAAAAATAATAGTCACCGGCACTCCAAATAATCAAGTCAATTAGTTTATTGACCCAAGTGATAACACCTCTAGCAACGTTTCGAGACCAATGCGGTCCCGTCCTCGACCAATGCGGCCCCTTCCTCGACCAATGCGGCCCCTTCCTCGACCAATGCGGCCCCTTCCTCGACCAATGCGGCCCCTTCCTCGGGGTGTTATCACGTTGCTAGAGGTGTTATCACTTGGGTCAATAAACTCATTGACTTGATTTATTTGGAGTGCTGGTGACTTTCTTTAATTTTTTTGGCCTCATTATAGGGACGGCCCTGTATAGTGGTGACAAAAATGCCCCTCCAGAAGTGTCACAGACCTTTTGCTAAATCGGAGGTTGACTATCATTAGACCAACCACTAAATCTCATAGTTGATTGATGGACCTTCCTCAATGTATCCAACGCCGTGCTCCTGTACTGAATTTGATGTGTAGTTATATTAGTGCAATATTTTTGTTCTCTAATACATTTCTATGCACCTTGGATAATTTATTAATCTTATTTAATTTTTTCTCTCCAGGTGGCACGGCGTTGCTGGTCGGGTAACAGAAATGCCTACGACACCATCATCCAAACCATGGAGGAGGACCGTAGGCTGAGAGTCACCCTTCCATACATTGTGAAGGACCCGGGTGCCCTGGAGAAGGCTTTGTCTCAGCCTTGATCTCCATTTTGGATCTCCAGAGATCATTGACATCCATCGCTCGCACCTCCTGGGCTCCTCCCACCAGCACACATCCAATCATCCCGATCCGCAATCCGCATTTGACTCTTTTGTAATCAGATGGAGAAATGCTCATCGGGTCTTTCTGTCTGAGAGTCTCGGAAGTCGGATGTTATAATTCAGCTTCACTCACACTGATCACAGCAACTTCACCTAATAATAATAAAAAATGTTTTATAAGCATCCTGTGTTTCATTTTTAAGGAGTTCTGTAGTCTCAGCATCCCCCCCCCATCCCCCATCCATATGACATCAGCATTGTAATAGGAATACATAGTAGAGATGTTTCTGATAATGCAATCAAAGCTTACATGAAGAAATCCCTTTTATATAGTGAGTGCTGTCTTCCGTCTGCCCATCGCTTCCAACAACTTCCTGGACTCCCAGCGTGCTTTGTATCTCCTTCCCTGCTGCTTGATGTGATACAATCTCCATTTCTCAACACTACATTTCCCATCATGCATTGCTTCCAGCAAGCAATGATAATGTGACATTGCTCAGACGTTGGGTTATAGTTTTGGAAGGCAGTAACATGGTGTCAGTGCATTGAGGAAGTCCATCCTATCGGCATCTTCAGCGTACAGACTTCTAGATCCATGGTTCTCAATTGGTGGGTCGTGACCCAAAAGTGGGTCGCGACCTCGTTTTCAGTGGGTCGCCCTTGCCTTCCCCTTTTCTATGTGAGAGACTGCACAGCCTCACCCTAGCGTAGCAAAATCAGTTCTTGTGCTGAGCAGTCATTCAGAATATGCTGCCTGGCGCCAAGTGTCAGCTTGGGGTGGGGTGGAGCTATGGCCACAAGGGAGCTCCACCCATACGTGCATTGCTTCCAGCTCCCTCACGTGACCTGTGGAGGTGCCATGACTGGAGTGAAGTCACATTCTGGCTCCCGCCACCTCTAAAGGGCGCACAAGGGAGTTGTACAAGCAATGCATGTATGGATGGAGCTCCGTCACAGCCCAGTGCTGGACCCCCAAGCTGAGGATCGCCCTCACCGGAATGCACGGTACCGCGATGCCGTGCGTTCCATTGCAGTGCGATTTGGGTTGCCACCTAATGTCTAAGGACAAGTGCGGGTCCTGAGGTTACACGGGTTGAGAAACACTCTTCTAGATGGATCTGGTGATTAGGAGCGGGAGAGAACTTTTGGAAATTCAATCTAGAAATACAGATTTAGTTTTTATGACCCTTCAAATCCTACAACTGCCTAACATTCCATCTCTTTCCCAATCGAAAATTCAATATTATATCTAAAACCAAATTGTTCTCTCCCTTTTGGAAACTGGGTGAAGG